GGGGGGGGGGGGGGGGGTATAAGTTGGTTTGAGAGGGGCTAAAGGGGATTAAAGTGGGGTGCCTTACTGTGATTCTGTTATTTGCTTTTTTATCTCCAATTCTATGAAGAATTGTAATGTGCCCTCAGCCAAAAGTCGTTTGCATTGCAATTTTACACAACGAAGTTTTTTTCCCTTTTTTTTTCTTTTTTCTTTTTTTTTTCCTTCTTCGCGCTGGGGATGCCTGGAACCCTGCCCGGGGGTTATGCCCTGCTCTCTCTCTCTCTCTCTCTCTCTCTCTCCTGCGCTCTCTCTCTCTCTCTCTCTCTCTCTCTCTCTCTCTCTCGGGCGCGCGCGCGCGCGCTCTCTGTGCCTGCACGGGCAGATTTTCACTCTAACAATTTCCCGAATGTATAGGACCATGAATGTGGGGGTTTATTCTCAGCGTGAACTTCTTCTGTTTTCGAATGTATTGTCCCACCTTCATGGTCCTATACATTCCGGAAATTGCTAGCATGAAAATGTGCCCGCGCACACATTCGCCATCACTTCGGGCTGTGGTCGGTCATCCACGTTTAGTTTCATCTCGTTGTCTTTTTAATTAGAACCTGGTCATGGTGTTCGTCCTGTTTAGTTTCATCTCGTTGTCTTTTTAATCAGAACCTGGTCATGCTGTTCGTCCTGTTACTGGTGAAAGTTGCTGCCGTAACTGGCCACCTACAACTCGGCAGGAACTGAGGAGACAGCCAGAGTCCGCCATAGCCATCCTCTGTTGCAGTGCCGTACCAATGACCTGTTGGCCATGGCGGCACTGCTCTGTAGGGAGACGGAAGTTGGACTGTGAAGAATAGAGAGGCATTGTTGAAAGTTTGAATCCTCTTGTTGGTGATACGTGCGCGTACGCGTGAATAGAAGCATTCCCGCCTTTTTCTCTCTCAGTGAGCTCGTGCATAGAAGCATTCCCGCCGTTTTCTCTCTCAGTGAGCTCGTGCATAGAAGCATTCCCGCCGTTTTCTCTCTCAGTGCGCTCGTGCGTACAAGCATTCCCTCCGTTTTCTCTCTCAGTGCGCTCTGTACTCTTCTGGGATTGATTTGATGAAACTTTCACCCTGAGGAAGCGACTAAATTAATTCCAAAACAACCTGCCGGCGCACCGGGAAAGGGAGAGAGAGAGAGAGAGAGAGAGAGAGAGAGAGAGAGAAACGGGGGGGGGGCAGCAGATAGAGAGACAGAGAGAGAAAGGGGGGGGGGGGGGGGGGAGGGAGCCCCCACTCTCTTTCTACACGCTCTCTCTCTGTGCACGGGCACATCTCTCTCTCTCTCTCTGTGGGCACTTTTTTTTTTACTTTTTTTTGGAAGTTTTTTATTTTTATTTTTATTATTTTTATTTTTATTTTTATTTTATTATTATCCTAACCCTTAAGGAGCATTGGCCGCGGGGGGAGGCCGGTGGTCCGATGCGCGCCGGAATCGGGTTGCGATAGAGGGAGCGGCTGTGTGCAGAGCGGTGCGCATACCGAATTGTTCACAGCACGCCAAAGAACGAAAGAGCGCACCCACAGTGCGCCAAAGAACGAAAGAGCGCGTCCACAAGGCCGTGCGGCAGCGGGCGTCGATAAGAGGGAACATCGCGAAGCCCCCACCGTCGGATAGCAAGAACGCGTCGTTTTCCTTTTTCCTTTTCTTTTTATTTCGTTTTTCACTCGCTTTTCTTTTGGTTTCTTTTTTTTTTCGTTTGTCAGTCGCTTTTCTTTTCGCGGAAAAGACTTTTCATTTCTTTTTGTTTCGTTTTTCACTCGCTTTTCTTTTCGTTTCTTTTTTTTTTTCGTTTGGCAGTCGCTTTTCTTTTCGCGGAAAAGACGAAGTGGGCATGGTTGTCCGGACGCGGCGGAAGACGAAGCGGGAAAAGACAATCCGCCCGCACCCACACACACACGCGGCGGAAGACGAAGCGGGAAAAGACAATCCGCCCGCACCCACACACACACGCCCGTCCGCCCCCGCCCCCGCCCACGCACCCACCCACCCACGTGCACACGCACGCACGCACGCACCCACCCGCACGCCCGCCCGCACCCACCCACACACACACACACACACACACACACAATATATATATATATAATATATTAGTAAGTATTCGAAGTTCGGTTGCACTGGTCGGGTTGGGGTTTGAACCCACGTATAGATATTGAAATACTAAATTGCTCATTGAGATAACCATTGAGGCGGACTGGGTCCCTGTATGTTTTAGGGGACTGCTTTCTTTTGAACTGTATCTGCATCAGGCTGCTGGCACGTCAGGATGTGCCTCTGTGTCAAAAGCTAAGACCACCAGTCCCCCAGCTGTCGAAACCCCCTAGTCCCTGTGAGTTAGGGCCGGGTTCTAAGGAGGGGCGGCGACCGTTCGTTACCGGCGGGTCCAATCCCGCCATTTGCAAGCGGTAACTTTGACGATTTTTGTAGCTCAAAAGATTTCATTAAATAATCTGAAAATTTGAGGGTCCGTAGATTAGGTCATGATATTTCAAGGAAAAATATCAGAAAAAAAAAAAAAAAATTGTACCATGAAATGAGCGCCGCGCCGATTCATTTTTTTTCGCGAAGTCAATTTTCGTGGCCCGCCCGATCCAATCCTGCCATTTGCAAGCCGTAACTTTGGCGATTTTTGTAGCTCAGAAGAATTTATCAAATTGGCTGAAACTTTGTGAATCCGTAGAGTAAGT